GTGAGATTGGCCTATAGTTCTCTTTTTTGGTTGGGTCTTTCTCTGCTTTGGGGATCAAGGTGATGCTTGCTTCCAGGAATGAATTTGGGAGGATTGCTTCCCTTTCAATTTCATTGAAGAGTATAAACAATAGTGGCAGTAGTTCCTCTCTAAATGTTTTGTAGCATTCAGCAGTGAAGCCATCAGGACCTGGACTTTTCTTAGCTGGTAAGATTTTAATTATGTTTTCAATTTCATTGGTTGATATTGGGTTGTTTAGAATTTTTAGGTCTTCTTTGTTCAACTATGGTAATTCATATGTATCTCGGAATCTGTCCATTTCTTCTGTGTTGTCCATCTTATTGGGGTATAGCTTCTCAAAGTAGGAATTGATCCTCTGGATTTCTGCTTGGTCTGTTGTGATTTTACCCTTTTCATTCCTAATTGCATGGATTTGGGCCTTTTCTTTCCTTTTTCTGACAAGGTTGGCTAAAGGCTTGTCAATTTTGTTTATTCTATCAAAGATCCAATTCTTGGCTTCATTAATTTTTTGTATCATTCTCTTAGTCTCCATTGAATTGATTTCTTCTCTGATCTTTATAGTTTCCTCCCTTGTATGAGTTTTGGGTTTTTCCTGCTATTCTTTTTCTTGAAGCTTGAGGCTCAGCATCAGGTTGTTTAATTGGGCTCACTCTGTTTTGCTAATATGAAAATTCACTGCTATGTATTTCCCTTATAAGACTGCTTTCATTGTGTCCCCTTGATTCCAATATGTTTTATTGTCATTGTCATTTAAGGAAATGTCTGATTTCTTCTTTAATTTCCTCTGTGACCCATTTGTTATTCAGAACTGTGTTGTTCAATTTCCATATGTTTATGAAATTTTTGCAGTTTTTTTTGCTGTTGATCTCCAATTTCATCACACTATGGTGTGATAATATACAGGGGATAATTTCAATTCCTTTGCACTTACTTAAACATATTCTATGAGCAATTATGTGGTCTATTTTGGAGAATGACCTGTGTACAGCTGAAAAAAATGTGTATTCTGATTCTGTAGTGTGGAAGCCTCTGTAAACATCTGTTAAGTTCTTTTCTTCAAGAGTTTGATTGAGTTCTAGTATTTCGTTTTTTGTCTAGTTAATCTATCTATTTGTGAGAGTGGGGTATTGAGGTCCCCCACAACAGTTGTATTAGTGCATATATGACTTTTCATGTCCATTAGTATTTGATTTATATAGTTGGGCACACTACTGTTTGGTGCATAGATATTTATGATTGACATCTCCTCCTGTTGGATTGTTTGCTTTACAAGGCTGTAGTGTTCTTCTTTGTCTCTCTTAATCAGTGTGAGTTTGAAATCTCCTTGATCTGAAAAGAGGATAGCTACTCCTGCATTTTTTCAGCTTCTCGTCCCATGGAGTATTGTTTTCCACTCTTTAACTTTCAGTCTATGAGTTTCATCTTGAATTGTGTGTTTCTTGTATGCAGCATATTGTTGGATTTTGCTTCTTGACCCATTCTGCCAGTCTATTTCTTTTCATTGGTGAATTGAGACCATTAACATTGATGGTTATAACTGATACGTATTGACTTATCATTTTCATGACTATCTCTTTTTCTTGGATTCTCCCCCTT